GACAGCACTCCCTTGACAATGGAAATGCTGCGCGACTTAGATGGCTTATTTTTGGTTCTGATGGTTCACTTGTGGGTCTCATCAAGACCATATTAGTTCCTGCATTATGTGAAACACTTTTAACATTTAGCATTTCCTTTATCATGAACATGTATTTCCCTTTTATCCACCGTAGGAAAATAGTAAGAATCAGAAACAGAGTGTTTGTGAGAAGTTCAGCCACATTGTTTCCATCCTGGAGGACCGACACAAGGTCAGTATGATCAATACAATATGAACTCAAGACTTTAGTAATTACACCTTGTTGGTGAAAGTAATGCACCTAAAATTTAAGCTCTGTTCATCCATCCTTGTTCTCCTGTTATTAGTAACAAAAAGATCTGAGTGTCACCAGCATAGTTGTGTTAGGACACATTATGGCTGAATATTAGCTTGCCAAACGGAAGCATGTACAGATTGAACAACAGGAGTCCCAGGATTGATCCCTGGGGAACCCCATAGGTCAGACGTACCAGAGATTACACCCCCCCCAGTCTTCTATCCTCTGTAACAGAATCACATGGTTCACTATGTCAAAGGGGGTGCTCAGGTCCAACAGAAATAAGACCTGAGACTTTGCGCCTGTATGTTTGTGGAGGAAAAGGCCTTTTCTTTTTGGTTTTCCATTTACAGCTGTCCAGGTCTGCTAATTAAGGGTGTTGAGGAAGAGTTTAGGTGCAGGCCAGCCAGTCACAGCACAGATATCCCCAGTAAGTCAGTCAGTAAGTCCGAGTGTATCAAAAAGATCATTCAAATTATTCAAGTCTTGGAATTAAAAACAATGAAATTCCATCTTGAGTCACTCTATAGCTAAAAAAGTTTCTCTCTGAGGTGTTATGGGAAAAAATAAAATAAAATATATATATCTGTGTATATACATAATGATATGTCCTATAATTATCATCATTGTCTTCAAACAGGCGATGACTCAGAAAATAAAGTCTGAGCAGGAAGAGAAGATAGCCCATGTCCAGAAGCTGTTGCGTCACTATGGCGACAGCATGGAGGCCAACAGCAAACTGATGGAGACAGCAAAGACCAGCATGGAGGACCAGGATGAAGTTGCCTTTGTTCAGGTTCTCTCTCAAATAAACGCTTTTGACTTTTTAAAGCTGTCCATGAAATCGACGATCAGGTGACCACAATCGAATGGAAGGTTTTACGGGAGGTTTATTTAAAAAAGAACGGGGTGGGGAGGGTGGGGATGGGGGGGAGTGCTGAGTGAGTGTCTGCAGTTGAGATTAACTGCGAAAAAAGGTGAGAGTGGATGGGAGGATCAAATCCTAATTGATATAATATGATAATATAATCAAATATATGACATAATAAGATATTTAATATAATGATATTGGACGGCAATAACTGAAGAACATAATGAAAAAGACAGAATGGGGGGAAAATAAAGTGCAATATCAGATATCAGAGAAAACTTTAAAGCTGCAACAGCAGTTTTGTTTTTTCTGTACAAATACTTCTGAAATAAAAATCTGTAGTGTATTTTTTTCATGGTTCCATGTTTGCATCAAATATTTTAAATCCATCTCTCTTTCTTATTCATCCTCCCCATCCTCAGAATTCCAAACAGCTGATAACACGGTGAGTTTAAATGTATGATTAATGCATTTTTTTCCCACAAAACAGACTCCATAGAAGTCAGATTACTTTTGCTTTGTATGTATTCTTTTGATATGTAATTTACCTCCTTCTGTCCATTTTTCATTCCCCTTCTCCGCTCATTTCATTTTAGAGTAATGGCAGCAGCCACTTCCAGCCCCTCTGAGACTCTGAAGCCGGGTTATGAGAAGATGAGCGACTATCGCTTTAGTTTCAGCAAAGAAGAGACAGCTCTGCGAAGCATTGATTTTATCAAGGGTGAGTCAGAGCTAGCTTGTAGAAATGTAACATTTTCAAACTTTGACGCTACATGTAGAATTCGTTTAGAAATGTCATTTTACTAAAATAAATCTGTCAAAAGTTGGGTTTTCTGATATGTAGAACTGTACTGAATTCAACATAAATACAAGAAAACTGTGCTACACACCCTCCACTTATATAATTACTGGATTTGCTCCTTGCTTATCCCAAGAGTCTGTTTACCCTGAGAGCACGGCCTTAGCCCCCCAGCTACTATTGCTTCTTCTAATCCAAATCCAGTGACTAGACTGCCTCATCTGACATGTCCTCCACTATTTTTCTCCCACTCTGTCCACTTACACCCAACTCCCTCAACAACCTTGCAACAAATCCTCTACACCCTACCTCCATTGGACAGATCCTAACTTTCCATCCTCGCTGATCTGTCTCTGCCCCTAAGTCCACATGTCTAATATGCTTCTTCTACTAAGTCCTCCCAAGGAACAGTCAGGTCTATGAAATAGACTCTCATTCTAGTCTTGACCCACAAGAATATGACAGGCCTTAGATATGTAGAGGTTATATCCTGGGTGACAACAAGCTTTCCTCCTAAATCTACCGGTATCTCCTAATCACAAGCGCCCCAATCAAGTGAGCAATGAGGTAGCAAAAAAATCCTCTACATCCTGCTTCTACTGGACAAATCCTAACGTTCTATTCTCATTTCGAACTTGCGATTCTCATTGCCTTACTTCTGCCCCTAACTACACATACCTAAGACTCGTCAGCTCTACGAAACTGACTCATTCTACCCATCGACCATAAGACTATATCAGGCCATAGATTTATGGAGGCGTTTTCCCAGGGAACAGCAAGCTTTCCTCATAAAACTACCAGTATCCCCCAATCAAAAATATCCTCTAAGATGCCCTGGTTCTTACTGTCTTTTTTAACTTTCTCCCCTTCTTAAACAAACTAAATTGCCACTCTCTTCGTCTGAGACTCTCCTAAATGAACCTACAGTGGCTTATCTTCAACACCTTCAGCTAAGCTTCTTAAAACCTGGTTGAGTCTCCACGTATACTGGCCTTGTGACAGACTGACCTTTAAGCTAGAGAAAATATGCCTCCGAGTTGCAGTATCTGGACATAATGAACACGATGGGTCTCCATTTACGCAGAGTTTTAGGTTCTAGGAGTTGGCAATAAAAAACCTAATTTTACTTTCCTGCATGCTCCACATATTTTTCCAAGTGAGCTTTTTCTTCTCCAGTCCTTCCCAGATCTACCACTGTCCCTGCTTCTGTAACCCTTAACAGTTCTCCCTGACTATGAACCACAACAAGCTTTCTCCTCTCTTTGGGACCTTCTCTGCTCCAGACCGGTTTTCCTGGGCCACTTTTTAGTTAATACGCTTGGGTTGTTGCTCAATGATATTTCATTTCTATGCTGATGATGTCTAAATTGACCAAGAGTATCTCTTAGAACATCCCTTATAAATAAACACAATCTTTTTATTGAATATCTCTAGGTGGCACTATCAAATCATGTTGTGTCATCGGTGCTCTTTTACATGTGATAGTTTTTTCGTTTTTCAAAGAAAAACAGACAAATCAGACTTTCAGTGTCACATGAAGCTCATGTTCATTAACAAAAGCATTTTTCTATCTGTTGCTAGATGTAAGGTTTACTCCTGAAGAACCAGAAGTGGATAGTGAGCCAGAAGATCTCAAAGAACCCGAAACGGAACGACATGAAGAAACTCTTGTCCAGAACCAGGAAGCTTTTGTAAAAACAATAGAAGAGTCGAAGTCTGCGCTTGTATCTCCTCCACCTCTGCACGTTGAGCCTGCTGAACGAGAAGAAACGGCGGTCCTACCGGCTCCAGCACCGGCCAGGGACCTGGCCAGGGAAACGGCCAGGGAAACGGCCAGGGAAACGGCCAGGGAAACGGCCAGGGAAACGGCCAGGGACCCGGCCAGGGAAATGGCCAGGGACCCGGCCAGGGACCCGCCCAGGGAAATGGCCAGGGAACCGGCCAAGGAACCGGCCAGGGAAACGGCCAGGGAACCGGCCAGGGAAACGGCCAGGGAAACGGCCAGGGAAACGGCCAGGGA